TCCGGCCGTACCGGAGTCGTATTAAACTCTGTTGCGGGCGGCTAAAGTAACAGGAGACTTTGGGGGCACCTTAAAGATTAGCACAATTTATACGGCATCGGCTGTCGTAAATCCGGGAGCCCACTTTTTCAAAGGCACGACTTCAAGGTTAATGAAGAGACAGGTGACATTAACACAGCTATGCTGAGGACTACAGCCTTGCCGAGTCTTTCCCCCTTAACCAGCTCGTTCCATAGCTGCCCTGGCCCGGCCGCCACACAGGACGCCGCCTTCTGAGTGCCATCCCACGGATGTTGACTTGCTGCCTCACGTGGCATCTGCACAAATAGATACAAGTCTGAGCTTGTTGACTCTTACAGCAATCCCGGTTTTACAAAGTCCCAATGTAGCAAGAGCTCGAACTTCACAGTTCTCAAGAAAAACAAAAAAAAACATAACTCTTTTCCCGTACACACAAATATGAGTGCCTTTCTCCTTCACTGCAGTTGAACTTAACGCCTGGGGGGAAACGTCCACAAACGTCGTTTTGCAGTAACAATTGCTTAAACAGTTGCACGGACTCAAAGGCTGACGACCCTGTTGCTTTCCTACACAACGTCCCCTTACCCAACCCCCAGCATGACAGCAAGTCAAGAGCAAATTCTTTACGCAACTTCACGCTGCTCACATAGGGAGGGGTGGTGAAATAGGCTGCAAAATTGACAAGGGACTTCGTTTTCAAGGGAGCGACAGAGGAAGAGATTGCAGTTGCATTGGGTAATTATGAGCTAAGTGCTACTAGGCAGACTATTTCCCGGGTTTGAATCGAACAGCCACAGCTCTGCTGCCTTCCGTTCCGGAAGTATACGGGAAAGTCTCTGGGGATGCAGGGAGAAACCCCGGCAGGGAAGCTCTCTTCAGTGAATTAGGCAAAGATTGCCAGCACTGTTCTGAACAACTCAGTCCCTACTTATTTTCCTATGAGCCCTCTGTGGCTGTGGATGCTCAGGCCACTGAACCCTACAGGAAGGAGCAGAGATCTGATTGCAAGCCATGCTTACCTTCCTTAGAACAGAAATGTCACTTTTAGGAAGTGAGAGTCTGTGTCAATGGAGATGGAGAAGTTGGGAGCCTTCCTATTTCTTTACTGTACTGTGGTGTTGCATGATTCAGTTCAATACAAGCATTTTGCAGTTATGCTGGCCCTCAGTAGACAGAAGCAGAACATTTGTTAGTTACGTGCAAGTCCCATAGATTTCAGTGGGGCTTGGTTTAAACATGATACAATGTGTTTTTAAAAACTAACATATTTGCAGTTCTATGTTAATGTCATTTATACCCTGCTTTTGTCCCTAATGAGCCAAAGTGATTTACAACTTCATTCTCCCCTTCTCCACGTTATCCTCACATAGATTAGGCTGTGAGATAAATTAGGCTGAGAGAGTTACTGGCCCAAGGTCACCCAGTGAGCTACCAAGGCAGAGTCGGAATTTGAACCCAGATCCTAGCTGAACACTGTAAGCACTACACAATACTGGTTACTGCCATTATTATTATCATGTTGAAACCAAGTACCTACATTTGCAATGTTAGCGTGCCAGCACTCATACACCAAGGCCACAATCCGTGACAACCCAATTTAAACTAGCATCAGCCTTTTTTTAGTATTGCCAGCACCAACCAATGGGACTTTGGTTAGTTTGTTTCCTAACTATATTTGATTTCTAACCTAGCCTGGTAGTTAGCAATAGTTCAAGATAGAAAATTATGTAAAAACAGCCCTTTAAAAATGCATATAATAGCTGTCAATTAAAGTAGCCCCATACTGCTTTCTCTCTGATTGTAGTATGCCAACCCAAACAGGAAAGTCTTGCTGTGCTTCTGGAAGGTATTCAAACCTGGTCTTTGATGGACCCCTGGGGTAGAGACTTCTATGGTAATATAGACGTTGTTGCCAGTACTGAATTCATGTAGAATAGTACATACAAAATACAGTGGCATTTTTCGTTACTTTATAGGATAGTTACAAGGTTTCAGTCTCTTGCATTCTGAATAAGATGAATATGTGTTTTTGTTGTGCAGTACATGTGTATAAACTTCAATGGCATATTTATATTCTAAAGCTAAACACATGTATCAATTACATGTACAATTTTGTTAATTTGCTTTGTATGTGACTTCACTTTATATTTTAAATACACCGCAAATCCACATAATTCTTATGTGATTCATACAATTCACAAAAGCTTTTACATTTCTTCACACAATCCACACTCCCTACAATTTAGCTAAATCATACCTATTCATTATCACTTAGGGCATATTAGCAAATATTTTTTTAAAAACCTAATTAAAGGGAAAAATCAGCACTGTATTATAGTATCTACCATTTCCTGGAGAGAAATACAAATTTTACAATACTAAAATAGCCCACAGGCCAGTCCTGTGCAGAATTCAGACTAAGCCAAATGATTTCAGTGAGTTTAGACTGGATTAACTCTGCAGAGGAGCACACTGCCAGTGGGATGCCTTACTTTAGATTAGAACACCTTTATTTGTGCCTTATTTCAGTTTGTACTTTACTTACATTTATGTGGATGGGTGATTAACTGTTGATGGGATATTCTATTACACTCCTAAAACTCTATAAAATTATAATTAAATAGCAAATTATATGCAAAAAAATTGACAGAAAAACTGAACAAAGGATTGGTTTTACTAATGCTTTCCCTGATATTCTGTGGTTTACCTATGACCTTTGGTCAAGGCAATGAATTATCAATTGAAATTCCACTTTTTTAGCACTTTGATCTCATGTAAGTGTCACAGTTGTCAACAACAATTTATCTGCACGGTATCTGTGTGTGTTGCTAGGGATGTGCAGTGGGAATTTTCGTAGCTGCCATCTATGATGCCCCCATCCACTTGTCTCCCTCAAAGGCAAGATTTTCCTTCCTTTTTCTTTCCCTTTTGCAACTGAGCCACCCTAGTTATCTGTTTTCTTCTTTCCTGAAGAATTCTGGCTGTCCCATCCATTCATAGAATGACAAATGTTGGCTCAGCCCAGGAACCTGAGGGAAGGATCACAAACCCCCTTTAACTTAAAACATGTATGACACGCAAGGCGTTTTGAAATTCCTAATTAACAAAATATTTTGTTCAACATAGAGAATAAAGGTCTGGTGAAATCAGGGGTAAAACTTCTGAGGTAACCAGGGGTCATTTCGTAGAAAAAGAGCTAGGGGGACTCATTAGCATAACTCATTAGCATATGCCACACACCCCGGCATCACCGGAAGTGTGTCCTCCTCACAGCTGGCGGCGACCTCCAGCGGGCACCAGCAGGGAGCTCCAGGCCCTGCCCTCCCGCACCTCACCCGGGGGGATGGCGTCCCCCCGCGTCCCCCCCCAAATGACCCCTGGAGGTAACTCAATATAGAACTCTGAAGTAAAACAGTATATGCACAGACTTTAGTTCATATATTTCAGGCTATTGAGAGTTTCATAAGCTTTCGCCAGTGACTTAGGATCTTTAAGATGAGAGGCTTTTGTTCACGTGTTTCCCAAACACTCCAATACACTCCCTTTGAGTATTCACTGAGTTTTTTGGTTTTCAGAAGGGTGGGACACTCTATCAAGTACCCAAACCCCTTCTCTAAACAGGCCAGTATTCTTCTTGAGTTTTAATTTACTCTTAAGATTGCATCAGGCAGTCTCTAACCACACCAGACCAGGGATCTCTTCAACTGTTCAGAGTTATCTCCCTGTTTTAACTGGGTAGGGAAAATTCTTCTCTCTCTAGAAGATCTATCCCCTTTTCTTGGCCTGAATGGAAGTCTTTGCCTAACTACCCACTCTTCCTTGCCAACCTTCCCCCAATTCTCTGTCTGTGTTAAACTGCTCTCAGTCAGGGCTGAATTTCAAATGAATTCTCAGCATCCAGTTCAGAAGTTTTTCTCTGCTAACTGATCTTAACCAATCAGATCTCTTGGAGCAGCCTGTCACTCAAAGCTCTCTGGCTCTGTGAGGAATTAACGGTTCACAGTCCTTAACTAGTTTGTACAGCACTTCTAAGCTTTTAAAAGTGCAATCTGTCACACCATCTGACCTGGATAGCATCATATTCAGAACTATGAATTCTCCAAATCATAACAGATTTTTTCTAACCTTCAGGACCAAACTGAAGCCTTCTAAACTAACCATTATTAATGTCACCTTGTTATTTGGCTTCAATTTCCCGATCTGTCAATGGGCCAGAGGCACTAAGATGGGAGATTCAAGAGATTAGTGATGACATAGGATCAGAATATTTCTCTATGTGAGAAAGAAATCCTGGTTCAGAATCTGAGCTCTATGAACATCTACACCAGGGGTGTCAAACTCATTTGTTATGAGGGCCAGATCTGACATAACTCATTTGTCAAACTCATTTGTTATGAGGGCCAGATCTGACATAACTCATTTGTCAAACTCATTTGTTATGAGGGCCAGATCTGACATAAAACCTAT